TGGCCTCATAGAGTCTCTGTTTTATTTTTATTGCTTGCTCCACAAATATTTACATTAGCACAATCTACCGTCAAGCAATATTATACCACTTCATGTATACTATAAGAATTTACAACATAATACTTTCATTTCCCCTTCTGTCCTTTATGCTGTTGTTGTCATACATTTTATTTCTACATTTATAAAATGTAGAAACACATTACATCACACTACAGTGTTATTCTTTTTCATTTTAACAATTTTCATTTAATGGGAATATACAAATAATTTTAAACTGTCTTTATATATACTCACGTTTACCAGTCTCAGAACTCAAACTTGCTTGATCTAAATTTTCATTTATTATCCTTTTCATTTTGTCTGAAGAACTTCCTTTAGTATTGTAGTATATTATCTGTTCATGATGATTCTCTCAGTTTTCGTCTGAAAAGTATTTATTTCCTTTTCATTTTTGAAAATGTCTTCATTGGGTTTAGATTTCTGATGACAGTTTTTTCCTTCAGTACATTTAAGATGTCACTGCATTGTCTTGTAGTTTGCATGGTTTCTGGCAAGAAGTCTGATGTAATTCTTATCTTTATTACTCATTATGTAACATGTCTCTTTTCCTCTGGTTGCTTTTAATATTTTTCTTTATCAACAATTATTTTTCAATAATTTGATTATTATGTGTCATGATGTAGATTTCTTTACATTTATTTTGTTGGAGTTCAGTGAGATTATTGGATAAACAAATATTTAGTTTTCATAAAATTTAAACATTTCCCAGCCTTACTTTTCAAATATTTTTCTACCCTCTCCCCCTCCTGATGCACCAATTATGCATGCTAGATCCCTTTATGTTGTCCCATGTCACTGATGTTATGTTCTTTTTGTTCAGTTTTTTCTGTCTGTTCATCATTTTGAGTAATTTTTATTGCTATGACTTCAAGCTAATTAATCTGCTGCAGTTTCTACATTGTTAACCTCATCCAGTACATTTTTCATTTCATATATTGTATTTGTCATCTCTACTAGTTTGATTTTGGCTTTTTAATATCTTCCATTTTTCTCTTAGTCATATCCATGTTTTCTCCACCTTCATAATCATATAGAGCATATTTATAAAAGCTGTTTTAAATTTCTTGCCTGCTAATGCCATCATCTCTGTCATTTCTAAGTGTATTTTTATTGTCATCTCTCCTGGCTAAGAATCAAATTCTCCAGGGGTTTTCTTTTTGGCATGGCCAATAATATTTTATTGGATGCTGTATAAAGTGCATTTTACATGGTCGGGTGGCAGATTTTGTTGCATTCCTTTAAATATTAGTGGGTTTTGTTCTGGGATACAGTCAAGTTATATGGAATCTGATTCTTTCAAGGCTTACTTTTAAGCTTTGTTCAGGCAGGTCCGTATCAGCCTTTACTCTAGGAATAAATAAGCCTTACTACTAAGACAATATCCTTTTGAACATTCTACTTCATACTCCAGGTATTACAGGTCTATTTCCAGACCTGTGTGAGCCCTGTTAATTTTTCAGTTTATTGTTTTCTCATGGTCTTTCACTGCCCAAAATGGTTGTGTTTTTTTTTTTTTCCCCCCTCATACATGTGCTGCAGGTCAGAATTCAGCCAAAGACTGGAGGGGATCCTCTGCATATCTCTGGAGCTTTCTCTGTAGAAATCTTGTCCCGGCAATTTCTAGCCTTCGTGGTCCCCCTGGACTCTAATCTTTGTCTCCCTTACTGATCAAGACCTCTAGGACGGGTTTTGGTCCTCCCTTTTTTTGCTGGAGCCTAGAAAATTACTCCAGGCAATAAAACTATGAAAATCATAGGACTCACACCTTACTTGTATGCTCTCGTGTACTATCTGTTGTCCAATGTCTAAAAGACATTATTTCATATCTTCTCTCTGGTTTTCTAGTTGTTTAAGATGGAAGGTAATTAGTCTCTGATATTCTGTCATGGATGGAAGAGAAAGTCTCCTGTTATATTACTTTTGTAATATTCTTCCAAACACAAAATTATTAATACTTTAAAAATATACTTTTAAAAAGCATTTTTTGTTTCTCACGATATTTGGTTTTGGTGCCATACATCTGAGTATTAAGAAAATAATGCTCTAGACCAGAGTTTCACAATCTCAGCACTATTGACATTTTGGACAGGAACATTCTTTGTTGTGGGAGGCTGTACTATATACTGTAGGATGTTTGGCAGTTATGACAACCAAAAATATCTCCACTTATCACTAAATTAACCCTGAGTGATGAGGCAAAATTGCCCTTGGCTGAAAATCAAACTTTCAGTATTGTAGCAATCCAGAAACACACCCCCTTTTAAATAAAAGTTAGGCAGCCTTAAAAAAAATAGTAACAGGGGCATATTGAAAGGACACAGGAGCCAACCTGGAAAAGGTCCCGATGGTCAAAGTTGCAGCAATTTGAGCAATGAGCAATAAATATTGAGAGTACTAGATTATAACTCAAAGCATAAAAGAAAATTTATGAATTCATTCTGATATAAATCAATAATTGAATGAATAATGAGAGAAAAAAATCCAATTAGATAGATGTAGGAGGGATGAAGAAAGCAATATCACCATTAGAACACCACAGTGATAACTGCCACGGGAGGAATCTATCAATGGATGTGATAATGAGTGAGCAAAAGTTTAAGCAGAATAGGATCTCTGCATATTCTCCAAGTATTTCTCCTAAAATATTTAGTACTTAACAAGGTGGGGAAATTATAACTTTGTGGTAGGGAATCCTGGTAGAAATCACTTTAGCCAGGTGATCAAGGTTAACATATCCAGTAATAAATATGAATATCATGTAGCTCCTGACACAATGGACTGAGAAAGACACATCACCTCTGTGGTAGCCTTCCCAATAATGTATAACCTCAGTCTAATCGTAAGAAAAAATTCAGACCAAATCAAATTTGTGGCACATTCTACAAAATAATTGATTGGTGCTGTTTTGATCAACTATCATAGATAGGAGGATACTTAAGGAGAGTGGATGACAAAATGCAATGGAATATGCTGGACTGGATGTGAAATGGGAAAAAAAGAAGACACCAGTGGAAAAACTTGTAAAATCCAAATAAAGTCTATAGTTTAGTTAATAGTATTGTGCCAAAGTTAATTTCTTAATTTTGAGGACTGTACCATGGTTATGCAGATGCTGACATTGGATAAGCTGGCTTATGGGTGTGCTGTAGTTAGCTCTCTGTGGTGTTTTTGTAACTTTTCTGTAAATCTAAAATTATCTCAAAATAAAAAGGTTGGAGCATCCTGTAGTTTCAACTGTAGGTATACATCTGTGATTGTAACAAATCTCATTAGACTAAATGTTGGAATCACAGAATCTCCAAGTTGGAAGGGCCCCTGTAGATTATCTCATTAAATTCTTTCATTTGACCTTTTGAGCAAACTTGGGTTAGGGAAGAAACAGGATATGCCGAAATTGATGCAAATAGTGGCAAAGAAGGGACTGGAATCCCTTTTCCTCTTCCAGGTGGAAGCTCTTGCTACATCTTCCTGATGGTCTTTCACCTTCACCACTAAAACACGGCAAACACATTCTGAGATGTTTTGGGTACATGTTATGCTGGACATCTGTTCTCGGATGACAGTTTTTTCCTTCAGTACATTTAAGATGTCACTACATAGCAGGGGTGGGCAAACATTTTTTGTAAAGAGCCAGATAGTAAATATTTTAGTCTTTGTGAGACATACATTCTCTCTATCCAATGTAGTGACTACTCAATTCTGCTGACGTAGCACAAAAACATTCATAGACAATATTTAAACAAATCAATGTTTATTGTGTGCCAATAAAACCCTATGAAAATAGGCAGTGGTTTTGACCTGTGGGCAAAAGTTTGCTGATCCCTGCTCTAAATCTTTACTAGTGAAAAAAAGAGATCTGAGCTGGACTCAGTGGTACTCGCCTGTAATCCCAGCTACTCAGAAAGCTGAGGCGGGAGGACTGCTTTAGCCCAGGAGTTTGCGACCAGCCTGAGTAACACAGTGAGACACCACACCAAAAAAGGGAAAATGGGCGATCTTTGGGTAGCTCAGGGACAGACATCTAAGATGCATCTCATGTAGTACTGTTAATAGAAGATATGTGCATGTTCCCAGCTGGACAATAATAGTGGAGAGGAGGTAATAATGGTGAGATCTTCTAAAATAAAGAAACAGTAGCGATAGCAATATAGTCTCTTCGTCCTTTGTGTTAGGTTGGTCTAAGCAGAGGGTTGATGAAATAGTATAAAGTATGTCAAAGACAATAAGCCCATAAATGGAAAGATGAGTAGTCATCTCTCTGACATTTCATTTTGCCCTTCTTGTAAGGAGGGTAGGAGGTTTCCTACAGAAACATCCAGAGCTGCAGAGCTTTCAGGTTTCCAAGACAATGAATTAAATCTAATTTCAAAAGAGTTGGTCATTATGCTAATGCGCATGCACACACACACGCGAACAAAGTGATGTGATCTAAAATAGTTAGAAAAAATGACAGAATAATTCTGTTAGGCGGGCATCATTTATTATAATTCTGTTTAGTATAAACAGAAAAGCAGGCTCCGAGTGGGTGTTGGACATTCAAGTAGGCATTGGAAATATATAAATAAAAAAAAAAAAAAAAAAAAAGAAAGAAAGAAAGAAAGTAGGCATGAACAAGCAGTGTGAAAGGAGAATGAATATTTTTAAAATACAGTGTTTAATGATATTTGGACTCTTTTCTTCTTTCAAAAAATTAATTTAATAATGGTTATTACCCATTTTAAGGTGCCCTGTGATGAAAACAATCTTTTGAGACAAAGTAAAACTTCAGTAGGAAATGAAAACTTCCTCTCATTTTTCTCATATATCTGCAATGCTTACCCACAAAGTAAAACAAACAATACAAATACTAAATACAATGAGCAAATACTAAATATAATGAAATATAAGACGGTTTCTTGATGTTGATATAATGCTCCATGGGTCTGATTAGCTTGTTGCTTCTCAGGTTAAATAGTTCATACACAAGTTTTCTTTCCTTCTCCATTTGACCACAACCTTACATGGAGACATATCATTTCGAGAAATAATTTTTTTTTTCCATCATGAGTCCTGAGGTATGTGGCTAAGCTAATAAGAGCAATGCAGGTGCAGTCTGTCCAGGGTTCAGCTAGCAGCCCCAACCCAGTCTCTCCAGGGTTCACCTAGCAGCCCTATACCCATGAGTACCAGTGGTCACCTCACTGTTCCTTGGAGGGCCACCAGAGTAAATGACAAAAGGGCAGGAGAAGAGTTAGCAAGGACTCAAAATTACATTAAACAGGAATAGCAGATTTCCTGGGATGGGTCTACTTCTAATAGTTGACCTCATTGACCAGGCCTTAAATACATTTGTCCTTGGCAAACCACAATCCTAGAACTTTAATTTCAGAGCTGGGAGACTTTCAGATCCAGCCATAAGAAGAGAATGAACAGGGAGCAAATGGAGAAAACATAGTGTGAGGCCTCCACAATCTTGGTCACCTTCACCTATTTGGCATCTGTGCTCTTTCCTGCCTTCACATTAGGGGCTGATTGGCAATGAAGCACCTGAAAATGAAAGTATGGTCAATCAGGAAGTGGAACCTAGGATGAGAGTAGCCAGAGCAAAGGAAGGAGACAAGTGCCTGTGAGACCTGTGAAGAGAGCGGAGCTAAGCTGAAGGAAGGCAGCACAGCATCCTTGAGAGAACACCCATTTTGGGGTCAAGTATTCATGTTTAAATTGTTACTTTTCTATCTGCTGGCTGTGTGATCCTATCTGGGGTGGGCAGGGGGACATGTCATTGAGTTTGTCTGAACCTGCAATTTCTTGTCTAACTAATGGATATCTAATATATACCTTGCCATGCTGGATATGAGAATTCAATGAGAAAATGCATGCAAATAGCCCCTCAAAGTTCTGGCACAGAGTAAGCCCTTGTGTTTGTTAGGAATCTACCCTTGGAGCTTATGGGAAGAGAGATCCTGGGTAGCCAGCCCAAGAGAGGAAATAGCCCCAAAATTTAGCTTTCAGGAAACTCTGGGCTTTCTAGTCACCTCAGCCAGCTGCCTCCATCCCACGACAAAACCAACAGCTTGAAAAACAGGCCCTATGGGAGATGGTCAAACAGCTTTCCCTAGTCAGTGCCTTCTGAGTGAATACTGTCATGTTGTGAACTGTTCACTGGATACTTTGAGGAAAGTAGCCACAAGGCAAAAGGCAAAATAATTCTCTAGTAAGCTCCCCCAAAATCCCAATTCATCCTAGAATAGATGCTAAGCTGAAGGCCATCACAGCACACTGCTTAATCAAGGTGCTCTTTTTCTGATCACTCTTTCCACCTTCATTCAGTATCTTTTAGTTAGCTGTCAAAAGGCTGTGCTCTTTGCAGCAGCTGCTGCTCCCCTTGCTGCCAGGGCTGGAACGTTGAGGTCGCCTGGCAATTTTGTAATTCTGATCCTAAGTTGAGGACAGCATTATAGCAACACTTGAGTGTCAGGGCAGAATATCCAGTGTAAACACTTCATCCCGAGTTGGCTTCTGTGGCTTGTTCAGCACATTTTGGATTTATTGCCCTCTCTAGCTTCTGTGACCTCAAGGAATGAACAGCCATTTTAATAGTAGTGTAACTAAAGCTAATTTAAGAAGGGAAATCTGCAATATATATCAAATAATGTCTTTCAAACTGAAATGAGTGACTTTGGGGTGACTCATTGCCTTGAATTATCCTTTTGAATTGTTCATGCTTCTTTTCTTTCCTCTTTTAACACAACTAAAAGCTGACATCACCATCCCACCTCAATTCTGGGGAGTGGGTAGAGATGATAAGAAAGATTTTGTTTACTAATATTTGTGCTAGGTACTTTGAAAAAAAGGAAATTTAAAAAAAAAAAAAAAACAGCTACACTGAGACAGTGCCTACCTTCACAGAGCTCAACATGTGTTAGCGTCATCTATTTGACAGCATCTATCCTCAAGGTCATTTTGTAAGTAAAAATTGAGTATCTATCATATATGAAAGAGAACACTCCATGCTTTAAGCACAGAAGCCTAAGTAATAATAAATATGATGTTGTCATTTGAGTAAGAAGAGATCAGGAAATGGAGAGGGAGCCTGAATTTCTGAGTACCTCCTGCTATGTATAAAAATGAAGAAACTTGAAGCGGGTAGATATTAAGTAGTTTTCCCATGGTCACACAGGCAGCATGAGGTAAAGCCAGGATTCAATCCCAGTTTCTCTGACTGCAAAGACTGTGATCTTTTCACTATACCATGTTGGTATCTAAAAATATAGGTCTTCAGATCTGGGGCAGGAAATTTGCATAATGATCCTAGAATATCTTATCATGCCTAGCAAGAAAGCTTTCAAAAACTACAAGATTCATGTAAAAAGGACTCAGGGGCCAATTTAAAGAGGTCCCCTATGACCAAGGAGGGGCCAATATGGGCCTCAATATGAGCCTCAATATGAATAAGAACAATGAATCAAAACACATAAAATATGTTTAAATCCATGAATTCATTAATATATTTTGAAAATAATCATTCATTGATTATATTAATGGATACCAGTGAGCTAGCTCATTATTTGGAATTAGGCATTTACCCTGCCTTCTTATACAAACTGTACCACTGGAGAACCAAGTAGTAGATGTACAGAAATATTCCAGCTAACAAATAAAGAAAGAATAACAAAATAAGAACATCACCATTTTGCAACCCTTAATGAATGAATGAATGAATCTAAGTTTGACTGTCAGTGGCTGCTAACAACACAAAAACAAACAACCAGATAGTATGTGCTTCTACATGTAGAGCACAAACCATATATGAAATAGTCAACCAAAACAAAACAAAAAAACAAAGAAACTTAAGCCTCTGAAACCAACTACTAATTTATGGAAAACACAGAAGATTGCCGAGAATGTTAAACTTAACAACAAAAGTGCAATCAGTAAAATCCAGTATAGGAAATGCTACACTGAAAAGTACCCATTTTCTTAAAAAAATAAATGGCAAAAAGAAAAAAAGGAAGGGAACCTGTGGATTAAAAGAAACTTAAAGGCTGTATTAATCAATTGCAGTATCTAACCCATATTTGGAGCTTCATTTAAACAAATATCCATTTATGACAACCATAAGATAACTGGAAACTTTAATAATGACTGGATATTTGTAGATTTTAATGAAGTTTTGTTCATTTTTAGATGTAATTATTGTATTGTGGATATGTTTTTAGAAAGAATCTTAATCCTTTAGAAATATACACTGAATTATTTACAGATAAATGTTATGATGTCTGTGAATTGCTTCATGATATTACAAAAAGAAGTAAAGCAGATGTGAGTATAGATGAAACAAGAGTGGCTGGGTGTTGATCATTGTTGAGGCTGGGTGATGGGGACTCATTACAGTTCTATCTACTTTTGTATATATTTGAAATTTTTCATAATTAAAAAGGTATATCTATACAACATGCACACATGTACATGATTTGAAGATCATGCATGCATATATATGCCAAAATACAACCTCTTGGAATTGATCCTATGGAAACATAGTGGAACCATACCATATGCATATATGAGTTACGTAAATTCAAATATATACACTCGGTATACAGACAGAAGAGAGAGAGGAGAGACGGAGACAGAAAGAGAGAGGAGAGAGTTGAGGGAGAGAGGAGACAACAATTGAAATGGTGTAGCAGGTTGTGCCCACCATTCTGCTCAATGATCCTGCTGTGCCCCAGAGAGAACTTAAAGTAAAAGCTGTGGCTCTGCTACTCCATTGGTAAGTTTCAGTCCCTGTGTGTCTCTCATACAGTGGGCATCTCACAGTGATTGTGGTGTTTAAAGACACATATATTTCATTCGATGTAGCTCATAACCACAAGCTAACCTCTTCATCTGGTGCTGAGCCAATGACTCAGTGATGTACTCCAATATTGGGGGCAAACAGGCTCTGCTGGAATAATGAAGATATGGTGTGTCAGCCTTCCTAAGGAAGTTTTAAGGGTGGTTTTGACTCTATGGGATATTCACCTTATGTGTTAGTTAAATAATCAAACAAAAAGGTGTTAAAGTCCACCATATGCATACATGTGTGCAAGGGCATGTGTAAAAACACATGTTTAATATGTCACTGTAATATTTAAAACCTGGAAAAATCCTAAATGTTCACTAACAGGGGTCTGGTTAAACATGGTGTGTCTGCACAGTAGAATAATTTATGGAGTCATTACAAAGAATAAGCTTGTTAGCTTCCAAGCAATAATAGGAAAAGATGTCTAACACATACTGTTACATAAAAAAAGCATGTGGTAGAATAACATATGTAGTGAGTTTATATTTCTGTAAATTATGAAAAGAATATATACCTACAGAAACATATACATCATTGTTATTTTACAGCACATTTCTAAAAGAATACACTAGAAAATGGTAGTAATGATAGACTCTGAAGAAAGGAAATAGGACTTTAGAGTGAGAGGATGACTTCCTTTTAATTGCACACTCTTTAATGTAGTTTTAAATTTTAACATGTGCATGCATCAGTATTGGAACTTTTGTTGAAGCATTACACACGCATAGAAAGAAACACAGTCTGTATCTGTATGGTTCAATGAATTAGCATAAAGTGAATACACACAAGTAACCACTACCCAGGCCCAAAAGAGAACACTGCCAATCTCCAAAAGCCCCATCATGCACCTATAATTTTCCTCTTTCATCTTGGAAATTAACTACTATCCTGATTTCCAATATCACGGTTTAATCTGTTTTTTTAAATCTTTATAGAAAATGAATCAGCCAGTAGGTATTATTTAGGGTCTGACTTATTTCAATCAGTATGTTTGCAAGAGCATTTCACATTCTTGCATGTAGCTATACTTTGTTCATTTTCATTACTGTACCATATTCCATGGTATAAATGTATTGGAATTTATTTGCATATTTACCGTTGATGAGCATTTTGGTTATTTTCATTATTTAACCAGTACTAAATAATGCTCTAATGGACATTCTTGCATATGTCTTTTGCTGAACACAGGCAGTAGAATTTCTGGGTCATAGGGTAGGTATTTGTTTAGCTTTAGTAGATACTGCTAAACAGCTTTCCAAAGTGGTTGTGTTAGTTTACCCTTCAATTAGCTGTGTATACACACAATAACAAGAACGAAAACAAAATCCTACCTCAGTTCACATAAGCAGTGTTGATTTCACTGGTATTCCTGTGTTGTTCGTAAAAATCAAAGACATGAATCACTATGTTACCTAATGTGTTTATTCAACATTCCTGTGACAAATCCCTATTTGAGTTTTGTGTTTGAGAGAAGTTGACATTTAAAGAGGAATATATCCCTCTTCTGGTTCTTAAGTTATGTATACCACTGTTTCCCTCACCCTTGGCTGCAAAAATTTCAGTCAAAGTCAGTGCTCAACATGCATAGTGTTCTGATCATGAGGTATCTGGTAATATCTACTCCTTCTTGAAACATACAATTCTTCTCTATGTCTTACTTTACATGATCCTTAAACTTGTAAGTTTCTGCAAATCCTTTTGAAAATAAAGGGAGGGGGAGGTTAAATTGTAAATAAATAAACCAAAAATAGTTCTAGCCCCAGATGGTGAAGCTTAAAAAGGAACTGTATGAAACTAAGGCTAATGAAGTACAAACAACAAAAGTGCACAAAGAAAGCAGTACAAAATGTAGTGTTCAGTAATGTGTGATTTGTCAATAACCATGTACATAGCTAGTGGCCAGGATATGCTAGCTTTGCATGAGTTTCAAGCCCTCACAGAATATACTGCCACATTTTGTCTTGATGGGCGAAAGGTAGAAACTCCCAGGATTTGGGACTTTGTGGCTTCTGCCCAGTGGATAAGTCCCTTTCCCCAGACAAGGGTTCGAATTATTCTTCTTGAACTGGAAATAAATTATTCTTTGTAAGAGACACACAGTCTACTACTCTATCTCTCAGTCAAGTATTGCCACCCTGGAATATCTTCCTATCTGTGCCTCCAGGCAGAGAGGTGCCCACATCCTTCTTGGTCACTACCAGAAGGAACCCTAACCAATCAAAATGCCCACTTGCCTCACCTTTGGATGCTGTTCTGGTGTTTAGCTAATACTTGATGAATGTAGCAATAGATTTCTTAGATCTCACAGTAGTGCCTAGATAGAGTCAATAAGATTTTCCATTTGGCTGGGGTCTAAGTCTTTGCTGAGTTTGAAACTGTTATCACACAGAGTAAGAGTTCAGGGGAGAATGCTTGGGATTCTGAAACAGTATGTGAGGCTCTAGAATTTAATTGGAGGCTTGAAGAACAGATAAGGCACAAAGGCATTAACATGAAGGTTGGGAAATCACATGTATCGAGTAATGCATATACAGACCAAAGCAGAGGGAATAAGTATTGGGAAAGGAGATTTGGATTAGTTCATGAACACCCTTGTATTCCAAATTAAGTAGTTTTGTTTTTACGCTGTTATTGAAGATATTTGAGTAGGGTGAGAAGAGGTCATAGTCCAAATAATATTTCAGGAGATGAATCTGACCATGGTATTCAGCACAGACTGGGACTGGGGAGAAATCTAAGTAGGGATTTCACTGCTACTGCTATGATTCAGGCAAAGATAACACATCTGAAATTGGTTGAGAGCAGCATGGACGGAAAAGCAGAAACAGAGAAGGGAACAAACGAAGAATTGCTGGGTTCTGAAGTTATTAGGTATGCAAAAGGAGGCAGAGGGCAAAGTAGGCTAGGAGCCAGGAGAACCAGGAAACAGGCACCTCCATTACTTACGGTAGCTTTCTTTGTAATAGCAAAAGATTAGAACCAACACAATATCTGTCAACAGGGACTGCCTGGTTGAACAAGCTATGATTTCTCTTCAGGATGGCATATGATGCAGTTATAAAAAAGAAATAAGGAAGAGCTCCATATAATGACATGTGATAATCTGTACAACATGTTGTTAAGTGGAAAAAATAAAGAAGCAGGACAGTGTTTATACCAAATAATATATTTTGTGTAAGAAATATGGGTGAAATACAACTACTCTCATTTGTTTAATATTCAAACACATAATAGATCTATAAAGGAAAACCTAATAAAAATGATTACTAAAGAGGGAAGAAGGAAAAAGAATGGCAGATAGAATGGAAGCAAGACTTCAAGAATATCTCCTCTTATATGATTTCAACTTTGGAACATGTAATGGTTTTACATATAATCAATGTAAAGATAAATCCAAAAGAGAAAGGAAAACAATCCCTAAAACTGAGGGAATAAATGAAGCAAAGGAATTAAACTGCGTAACAAGTTGGAAATGTAACTACAAGGAAAGAAGTTAGTTTAAGAGACTTTAAAATATAATGCTTTGACTACCTCCCTAACAGGACTTTAAGAACAACAAAACAGCAAAGCAATCTTAAACTGCATTCCATAGTCTTAGTATTAACACTGGAATTGTTATTTTAAAATTGTTACAAATATCATGTAGGGTAATGTAAGTAATTATGCTAATGTCATTAGGAACCAAGACTTTTACAGTTAGAGAAAAAGGATACAGAATGGCCAGTATGGCCATACTGCCCAAAGTAATTTATAGATTCAGTGCTATCCCCATCAAGCTACCAATGACTTTCTTCACAGAATTGGAAAAAAACACCGTAAACTTCATTTGGAACCAAAAAAGAGCCCGCATAGCCAGGACAATCCTAAGTAAAAAAAAAAAGCAAAGCTGGAAGCATCATGCTACCTGACTTCAAACTATATTACAGGGCTACTATAATCAAAACAGCATGATACTGGTACTAAAACAGAGATATAGAAAAATGGAACAGAACAGAGGCCTCAGAAAGAATGCCACACAACTACAACCATCTGATCTTTGACAAACCTGACAAAAACAAGCAATGGGGAAAGGATTCCCTATTTAATAAATGGTGTTGGGAAAAATGGCTAGCCATATGTAGAAAGCTGAAACTGGATCCCTTCCTTACATCTTATACAAAAATTAACTCTAGATGGATTAAAGATTTAAACATGAGGCCTAACACCATAAAAACTCTAGAAGAAAACCTAGGCAATACCATCCAGGACACAGGCATGGGCAAGGACTTCATGACTAAAACACCAAAAGCCAAAATAAACAAATGGGATCTAATTAAACTTAAGAGCTTCTGCATAGCAAAAGAAACTATCTATAATAGAGTGAACCTGCAACCAACAGAATGGGAAAAAATTTTTGCAATCTACTCATCTGACAAAGGGCTAATATCCAGAATCTACAGAGAAGTTAAACAAATGTTCAGGAAAAAAGCAAACAACTCCATCAAAAAGTGGGCAAAGAATATGAACAGACACTTTTCAAAAGAAGACATTTATGCAGCCAAAAACATGAAAAAAAGCTCATCATCACTGGTCATTAGAGAAATGCAAATCAAAACCACATTGAAATATCACCTCATGCCAGTTAGAATGGCAATCATTAAAAAATCAGGAGACAACAGATGCTGGAGAGCATGTGGAAAAACAGGAACGCTTTTACACTGTTGGTGGGAGTGTAAATTAATTCAACCATTGTGGAAGACAGTGTGGCGATTCCTCAAGGACCTAGAAATGGAAATACCACTTGACTCAGCAATCCTATTACTGGGTATATACCCAAAGGATTATAAATCATTCTATTATAAAGACGAATACACATGTATGTTTATTTGCGGCACTGTTCACAATAGCAAAGACTTGGAACCAACCCCAATGCCCATCAATGATAGACTTGATAAAGAAAATGTGGCACATATACACCATGGAATACTATGCAGCCATAAAAAAGATGAGTTCATGTCCTTTGCAAGGACATGGATGAAACCGGAAACCATCATTCTCAGCAAACTGACACAAAAACAGAAAACCAAATACTGCATGTTCTCACTCATAAGTGGGTGTTGAACAATGAGAACACATGGACACAGGGAGGGGAACATCACACACTGGGGCCTGGGGGTGACGGGCTAGGGGAGGAATAGGAGGTGGTGGGGGGATTGGGGAGGGATAGCATTAGGAGAAATACCTAATGTGGATGATGGGGCGATGGATGCAGCAAACCACTACCATGGCACGTGTATACCTATGTAACAAACCTGCACACTCTGCACAAGTACCCCAGAGCTTAAAGTATAATAAAGGAATAAATAAAGAGAAAAGAGATAGTTATAATAATAAAAGTAAAAACCGTATCATCTTAAATTTGATTTCCAAATCAGTATAAACTCATCACTTCTATCATTTAAAAACTATGTATTTCCTTCTTTCACTAAAAAGAAAATACATGACAATTTAGTAGCTATGAGGAATCCAAGCCCTCAGACTGTGCTCTCTAAATATCATTTCCCATTAAAGGGAACTATAGCTCTTTAGAGAAATGGTTGACCCCAGTTCGGGATTGGAATATTATAAAATGAGCGTGAAACATCCTATATAACCAAAAATCAAGGAAGCTATCATGACAAAAGGAAACAGAAGCCAACTTAAAAGGCTTAACTTAAAAGTTTATATATATAACTACCCATTATAATATATATATAACTACTCTGCCATTATCACATAAAACAATAATATATAACTAGTACAACTAGTTATAACTAGTACTAGTTATAATATATATAATGACTGTCATTATCACATCAAACATTAATAATAATTCATTATATATAACAATTCATATATATATATATATTCCTTATGAATTGTATAAGGATATTCCTTATGAATTATATAAGGTCCTAGAGAATACTTATATCACAGTGGGGTACTAGTAGTGGTAGGGGAGGAATAGAAGAGGTAGTGGTGAGGAAGCAGGAAGAAAAAGAAGACTTGGCTGGGTGCAGTGGTTCACACCTGTATTTCCAGCACTTTTGGAGGCTGAGGTGAGCAGATCACTTAAGACCAGGAGTTCAAGATCAGTCTGGCCATGGTGGCTGAAACCCCATCTCTACAAAATCCTCAGCAAACTGACACAAGAACAGAAAACCAAACACTACATGTTCTCACTCATAAGTTCTCACTCAATAATGAGAACACATGGACACAGGGAGGGGAACATCACACACCAGGGCCTGTTGGGGGGTCGGGGGGCTAGAGGAGGGGTAGTGGGGGGCTGGAGGGATTGGGGATGGCTAACATTAGGAGAAATACCTAACATAGATGATGGGGGGATGGATGTAGCAAACAACCATGGCAGGTGTATACCTACGTAACAAACCTGCACCTTCTGCACATGTACCCCAGAACTTAAAGTATAATTTTTAAAAATACAAAAATTAGCCAGGCATGGTGGCACATGCTTGTAGTTCCAGCTACTCGGGAAGCTGAGGTGGGAGAATCACCTGAACCTAGGACGTTAAGGCTGGAGTGAGCTGTGATCATGCCACTGCACTCCAATCTGGATGAGAGGAGTGAGACTCTCTCTTAAAAAAAGTCAGAAAAACACAAGGAAACCCAAAATAGTTTTGTTTTACAGAGGCCAAAGAGGGAAATAATGCCAAGGAAAGAGTGGTTAACAGTGTTAAATTCTACAAGGTTAATAAGGATAAGGTCTCAGAAAACGCAACTATCTCTTACTTCAAATTCCTACCACATATCCAAATTAATTTCAAGCTGATGGTGACCTCACTAATAGTGAGCCTGTAAGACACTGTCTTAATCATCAGCTTCCATCTGTTCCTTCATTCATTCCTTCCCTCAATCCCCCACTCTCTAGCCATTCATTTAACCGACATTCACTGAGTGTCTACTCCAAGCCAAACCCCTGCTATATTCTGCAGATACTGAGACAAATGAAATATTGGCCCTCCAGAAGCTCACAGCTTAATGAAGAAGACAGACTTAGAAAAATAATTACAGCATAGTGTTAACACTTCAGAAGTGACTTATTGAATGTATATTCTGGGGAAGACACTATGGGAGGCACTAGAGATACAAACACAAACCAGTAGTTGTGTCTGCTGGGAGCTCAGAATATAGCTTGGAAGGCAAATAGAATTATAACATATTATGATACGAAGTAGAAATAAAAGGAATATACAAATTATAAGAGAGCACAGAGTAGGAAATGAGGCTTATGAGAAAGCCCTGTGAGATAAGGGATATTCATACGCACATTTTACATATGAGGAGATTGAGGTATGGGGAGATGAGGTGATTTGCCCAAGGCCAGAGAGCTGTGAGTGGTAGAGCCAGGGTTCAAGTGTGGGTTTGTGAGACACAGGAGTTCGGGTTTTACCCACTCTGTCATACTGCCGGAAGGCCTCTTCTAAGAATTCCCATGCTCTTTCCACTGTGCCACCCTGGGCACACCTCCAGGGGCACACTGTAGGTGGTCAATGAGTGTTTGTTGAATGAATAAATGAATGAACTGTGCAACTACCCAGGGTTGCTGGGAAGGTTCTGAGATAAGTACTTGGTTAATTAGAAGGCACTGCATAGAGTCACTGTGTAGGATGGCAGGTGAGGACATAAAGAGCCCACACCAAAGCGGGAATCTGCTGTGTGGGCCACTACTACCAAAGGAGAAGTCATATCCAATAAGTGTGTTGGGATAGCTAGAGACTGGCATCAGGGAGCTCTGAGAGTAGAGGGCAGGGTGTAAGTCACAGGGGCTAGAAGGGGAATTGCCAAAGGCCAGGCAATATCTCAACCCTAGAGTGCTTATGCTGTGAATGCAAGGGTCCAGGGCCCAAGATCTAGTTACCCAAACTGGGCCACTAGGTCAGAACCAGGTCAACTTGGTCCTGAGTCCATCAAGCCACTAGCCTGAGGTTCGAAAAAGCCCTCTGAAAATGGGGTGGTGGTGGGGGAAAGTGGGGAAGGAGGATGAGAAGGATGATGTAGAGGAGGAGGGGAAAGGAGAATAGCAGAGGCCAACATTTACCAAATGTTGATGTGGACCAGGTGCTGCGCTAAGTGCTTTCCAGGCTGTCAGGACACCCTCACAACCTTCTATGACATAGACTCAACTTCTCAATTTTCTTGGCTAAACTTGCGCGCCAAGGACAAGGGGCTCTGCTCTCTTCTTCTTGCACCTATGCAATCCCTGCATGCAGATAGCAGCGGCCCCTGCTGATGGCTCTAGAGGAGACTAGTGAGCACAGCAAAGAAGTATGAATCAGCTCCAAATGATACTTTCCCATTACAGAGAAAAGGGGCTGGAGTGAAAAAAGAAGCAAAGTTCCAGCCTCCTCCTGTGAAGTCCTGAGGATGCCAATCCCCAATCTGTAACAGTGAAGATGCTGACAAGGTCACGCACACTGCTTCTGCCATACAGCTTAGAAAGGCTTTTACATATATGACTTAGTGAAAACAATTAAAAGACAAAACAACAATAACATGTTTTTTCGTCATGGAAATTTTCCCCAAAAGATAATTTTTCTCCACTTCAATCCATGTATATTTCCCAGATGTCCTCTGGTCTTCTGCAATTTCTACTAAGAATTTCAGCTATCCCAACAAGGATGTTCAAACATCATAGTTTCTACTAATATATGGAGCCCGTATCTCTTGGCTCCAAATTCATTTCCCTTTTTTACCACATCTGAGGACTATGCTGCCAAAGGAATAGGAA